GCTCCCTCAGCACTGACCCTCCGACAGTGCGGCACTCCCTCAGTACTGACCCTCTGACAGTGGAATACTCCTTCAGGACTGAAAACCCTAGGTCCCCCTGCCCCTCTCACTGAGTGCCAGCCTGTGTGTTGACAGCAAAACGGCGTTTCACATGTTTTTGTAACTCTACACACTGAATGCTGCCTGTAATTACACCCGTGTTCAGTGCAGCCCTGCTTCGTCTGTACTGTCAGCAATGCTGCTGCCCCTCCCCTATGGCACAGAAGGGGTTAATGCTGCCCCTGTGGATGGAGCTTGTGCCTGGCACTAGCTTTGGGATAAGCTCGGTGTTATTTTGGTGCTGGGTCAGCCTGCAATAATTACCCCTCTGACCTGACCCTCTCTCTCATGCTGCTCTCTCTCTCCCTCTCCCTGAGCTATCTTGAGGCTGGGACATAAGTCTTGATATTTTTAGCCAATACAGTTGGGGGAGCTGACTTCAATATTGTTCATATCCCAAAGGGAAGCCCTGGGTATGATGAGACTGGAGGAGATTATGGGAGGAGACAGACAGAGAGAGACAGACAGAAAGAGAGACAGAGAGAGAGAGAGGTCTGTACTCTCTCAAGTTTTGAAGAATGAGAGGTGATCTCATTGAAACTTACAAAACACAGAAGCATTGCAGAGAAGCTGTTTCCTCTGTTGTTGAGTCAAGAACTTAGGGCACAGCTTAATAACAAGGGACTGTCACTTTGGTCTGAGGTGAGAAGAAATTATTTTATGGAGAGGGTATTGAATCTTTGAAATTCTCTACCGCAGAGGGCTATGGGAGCTGAGTCTTTTGAATAAGTTCGATGTAAAGATTGTTAGATTTCTGATTACCAGTGACATACAAACTGATGGGTAAAATCAATGGAATTCTTTTCCACACAGGACTGTCGAAGTTGGATCTTTAAGTACGTTCAAGGCTGAAGCAGACAGATTTTTAATCAGGAAGGGAATCAAGGGTGACGATGAAAAGGCGGGAAAGTGGAGTTGAGGTGTATCAGATCAGCCATGATCTCATTAAATGGTGAAACACACTTGATGTGTTGAATGGCCTACAGCTGTTGCAATGTCTTATGATACTTTCATGCTCGTTGTTTTTGAACACAGCCGTCAATACCAGATTGTGTTAATTGAATGTAAGTTCTACATAATGTGATGATGAGATTTGAATCCATGTCTGTTTGAGCGTTCGCCCAGGCAGCTGGATTAAGAATCTGGTAACATCATGGAGACGACCATGTCCTGCTGGAGAATGGCCTTTCCACACCTCCCAACAACTTCTTGAGTTGCCTGCTCCCACCTGCCTTGAGACTGGGGTAAATAACCAAAGGCAGCAGGCAAATGGAATGGGCAGGCTCCGGGGCTGGGATTCTCCTGATAATCGCAGGTGAACAGTCACTGCTCCACGCCCCACTGCGAAATCCGCAGGTAGTCCTGGGCTCGGCAACATTGAGAACTGTAGGGACATTGAAAGGACGTTCTCAGTTAGATTGAGTGGGCAGGCAGGTGCGAGATGGTGATCATGTGGAGAAATGTGAGAAGATCATGTTGGATCGGAAGAACATAAACAGACCGTCTAAACGGAAGGCAACTATTCCAGAGGGGCTTCTGCCTCAAACAGAGAGCTGAATGGCCTCCTCCTGTTCCTGTGCACCAGGCTCCAAAAGGACAGTACTGCCATACCTCCCTTTCATCTCTGCCTTTTTAACCCCTCCTATCTTCCCTCCTCTCCTTTCTCACTCCACACCCCTTTCTCTCTCCCTTCTGACCTGCCTCTCTTACCCCTCCACTCTCTCTTTCCTCTCCTATCTCTCCCTTCAGCTCTCTCCTCACCCTTCCCTCCACTTTTCTCTTCTCTTCACTCTCCCTACTTCTCTCTGTTTCTCCACCCCTCCCTGCTCCTCCCTCGCTTTTATCCCCCTCCCATCCCCCTTTCTCTTCTGTGGTCTCCTCTCTCTCCTCACCCTCTCCTTTTTTTTGTAACCACCTTCCCAGTGCTGGAAAAAATCCTTGGAAATTGCTCTCACTCTCTATCACACAAGAAGTGCGACTGTAAAAAAAAAAAGAATAATTTTCAGTTTGCACTCATCAGGACAGAGTTGCAAGAATGCCAAATCTTGAATGGAACAATAACTTATACGGCCGGAGAAACAGGGCGGTGATTGGTTGGCGAATGTACCCTGGTTATAGCATCACCATGGAGAATGCACCAGGGAATAGTTTACCCCAAAGCTTTTGTGTGAGTTCAGAAAAAGAGTCCAGTCAGACGTTTGAAGGTTAGAGGGCGGTTGTGCGGAGGTCTCATGAGGAGTTTCTATTTCTCTGTCCTGAGCTTCCGCCCACCCCACTCCCTATCCCACCCCCATTTACCTCGAAGGATCTGAGGGAGCTGGTCTGACACCAGAAAGTGAGTGAGTGAGTGAGTAAGCCTGTAAGCGAGTGAGTGAGTAAGGGAGTGAGTGGGTGGGTGAGTGAGTGAGTGAGTGAGTGAGGGAGGGAGTGAGTGAGGGAGGGAGTGAGTGAGTGAGCGAGCGAGTGAGCGAGTGAGGGAGGGAGTGAGCGAGTGAGTGAGTGAGGGAGGGAGTGAGTAAGGGAGTGAGTGAGTGAGTGAGTGAGGGAGTGAGTGAGTGAGGGCGAGGCGAGGGTGATGTTTCTTGTGGGAGGAGGTGGTTGACTTTCCTGTGTTGTTCCTTTCCCGTCTAGAACAATGATGTTTGCAGGAATTATCTCAACGTGAGAAAAGCAGATACCCTCTGAATTCCCCACGGGAGCTGACCAGGAACAGCTGCTGCTGTTCTCCTCTGCATGCTATTTTGGATCGCATTCCTCCGGTGTCAGGCTGCCTGTGTGTGTGCTGTGTGCCTGTGCTGGAGGTTCGGAGCAAGAGGAGAGGACAAGGGCAGGAGAACTGCAAGTCCGTTGGAAGGAAGTTAGCAGAGAGACCAATTATTGGGAGTCAGTGATGAGAAAGCGAGGGGCTCGAGACGCAGAGAGGGAGGATTAATCAGGCGTGCAAAGAATGGATAAAGGGAGAGGGAATGTGAAATTAGCTGAGACGGAGAGAAAGAGGGCGGGAGATTCTGTGCATTAGCAATCCTCCTCAGTTTGCTGGGCGAGTGTATCTCGGAGATGGAGCTGATGGGGTGGTGGCGTTTTCTTCGCTCCTGTGTGGTAGCGGAGCGAGGAAAATGCAGGATGATCCTTTGGGATGTCCTGGTGTTTGTGAGCGACCAGATTGCCTTGTTGCTTGGAAGCCGGATCGTGCGGAGTTACTATCATTTGTGGCTGGCCTTGTTGGTTGTTTTCGGGCCTTTGCTCCAGTTTTACATCAGCCCCAGAGTCATCTTCGCCAATAAAAGGAACTACTTCAATGTGTGAGTATTGCATGCTTCTTCTCGCGCATACTCTAGTTCCCTCAGTTCACCCCCCATCCTACCCCACCACAATTCCCTCATGTCCTTGTCCCAAATCACCCCCTCAGTACCTGTAGAGATTCCCACCCTCCACCCCAATGCTCTGCTTCTCTGGGATTTGCTCTCAGGGTAACGGTACCCAATTAGTTCATTGGAAATGAAATGTGGAGATCAATGTGGAGATGTTCGACTCTCACTGGGATGGGAGGGGCTGGCGGTGGGTGGGGTGGGAGGCTCTGGATCCCTCACCATGCCCTGACCCTGCCCCCTATTGACAGTTCATAACCCCTTGCTCTTCTCGTTCCCAAACCTCAGACAGCTGAGATGTTCTGATTTGTTATCAAAATTGACAAATATTTCTTTCTCTCTTTTTTATTCATTCCCTCTCTTTTCCCCTCCTGTCTCCCATTTTCCCCATCTTTCTTGTTTGTCCTGTGTCCCTTTCAACCTCCCTCTCCCTCCTCTGCATCCCCACCCACTCTTCCCTCATCCTCCATCAATTCCTCCCTCCCCTTCTGTCCCCTCTCCTCTATCGCTCCCCTCATTCCCTCCATCTATGTCCCTCTCCCTTTCCATTCCACTTTCCCTGCCATTCCACATTCTCTCTCCATCAATCTCTCACCTCTCCGTGTCTCTTTCTCCCTCTCTCCGACGTCCTTTCATCTCCCTCTATCACCGTTACCCTCATCACCCCTTCTACTATTTTCTCTTTTACCCCCTCCCTTCCTCTCTATCTATCTCTTTCCTCCCACTATCTCTTCCCCATCTCCTCTCCCTACCCACCACTCTCCCCACCTCTTCCATCTCTGTTTCTCTCTCTCTCCTTCCTCTATCTCTTCATCCATCTCCTCTCCCTCCATCTATTCTCTTCTCTCTCTATCCATCCACACCCTCTCGATCTCTCCTTCTCTGCTCTGCCTTCATCTATCCCTATCCTCTCCCCTCATTCCTCCGTCACCCCAATCCATCTATTCCCCCCTTCTCCGTCACGCTTTCGGTTTCTCCACTCCCCCTCAATCTCTCACTCTCACTCTCTCCCTGTCTATCTCTCCATTTATCTCTCCCTTCCCTCCTCTATCTCTCGCCCCTCATTTCACCTGTCTTACGCTAATTCCGCTCTCAAACTTCCTCACCTCTGTTCCTCCCCTCTTTCTCTCTATCGCTCCCTCATTCCACCCTCTCTCTTTCTGTATCTCCCTCCTCCATCTGTCTCTCATTCCCCCCCCATTCATTATCTCTCCCTCTTTATCCCTCTTTCTGTCTCCCTCATTCCACGCTCTCTCTTTCTCTAACTCTCTCCACATCTCTTTCTCATTCACCCCCCCATTCATTATCTCTCCCTCCTTATCCCTCTTTCTCTCTCTCCCTCATTCCACCCTCTCTCTCTCTCTCCCTCTTCCATCTCTCTCACTCCCCCCCTCTCATTCGTTATCTCTCTCTCCTTTTCCTCTTTCTCTCTTTCCCTCATTCCCCACCTCCCGTCCCTCTCTCCCCCCCGTTCTCCTTCTCCCTCATTTCAACCTCCCCCAACTCTCTTTCTTTACCTCTCCCTCTCCTTCTCTCCGCCCCCCACCCCCCATCTCTCTGCACCCCCACCCCCCCAGGCGGCTCGTGGAGTGCTGCTGGTCATGGACGGTGCTGTTGGCAGGGGGTTACATGCTACTGCTGAGCTCGGGGCCATCGGGCAGCCCTCTCCCGGCCCTGAGGCCCCTCAGCCGCCTGGTGGTGGGGGCAGGCCTCCGTCTGCTGTGTGCCCGTGCCTTCTCCTGGATCGAGGAGGTGACCGGATCGTGCTTTGAGCCTGCAGCGCGGGGCCTGCTGCTGCTGGTGGAGGAGGAGGCAGGAGGTGAGGCCGGAGCCTGGGCCTGGGCCAGAGCCGGGAGCTGGGGCATAACAGGCAGGCGGACTGCGTGCCTCCTGGAGCCGGGCCGCCTGTGGCGGGGCTATGAGCTGTCTGGGGACACCTTCGTGCTCTGCTTTGCCTCGCTGGTGCTGGCCGAGGAACTGTCGGCCTTCCAGAGTTATCTGAGCAGCGGGAATGCGGCCTGTGGGCCTCTCCGCCTACTCTTCCTGCTGGCTGCCACCTTCCTGCTGCTCTGGAATGGCTTACTGCTGCTCTCCGTTACCTTCTTCTACCGATACTCACAGAAATTGGCAGCTGCTGCCATTGCCCAGCTCGCCTGGCACCTCACCTATCGCCGCTGGTACCGGTGCTCCTGGTCTCCAGGCTGCCCGGGGCAAGGCATCACCCGTGTGGGGCTTGGCCCGTACCCCAGGCCTGGGCGCTGCGTGTGCGGCGCGACCCGCAGAATGAGCTTTACCTGGGACCCATCTTCCGACACCCTCCTGTACCGGGAGTGAGGCCCCAGTCTCCCCCTTAACCCAGGGCCCGGGACCCCAGAGACACCAAGGGGTCAGATATCAACACCCCAACCCCTCACACAACACTCACCCTCCAACACTGCAGCACTCCCTCAGTACTGACCCTCCGACAGTGTGGCACTCCCTCAGTACTGACCCTCCGACAGTG